TCAAGATGTCACTTATTTATTGTCCTTATGATCCTTACCGCTTTAGACCCTCAGATTGATTTGGATACGCATTTTGCACTTGTGGATTGTTTTCTCACGTTGCTTGACTCTGATTTGCGATTTTTTGGTGGTCTTTCAGTAGTTTCATCATCTTTTGTGATTCGTTTACCGATGCTGGCAGATTTATTTGTATCTTTATTTTATTCGAGTATTTGTTTTGTGTTAAAGGTTATATGAAAATGTCATAATTATAATTTAGTTTATGTTTACGGTTACGCTCGTTAATCTTCATTGTAATTCTGAATATTTTCTATAAAAAAAATAAATTTATTATAATAAAAACGTATTTGAATTTATATTGATTAAAAATCAATTATAAAATTAAACAATTTAAACTAGATATGAATTTAAAATCTATTTAAACTCAACTAAATATTTAATTAACTTAAGTATTACGCCAACTCCACCGCACAATTTTAAGGGAGTAATTACAAGTAGCATGTTCAAAGTTTGTTGCATTATGAGTGGCAGAGGCATAGGACCCTCCAGTTGCTGCTGCTTGCTGATAAGTCTCTGCGGGCAATGCTTTCTCCTAACGTGTCATTCATTTGCCCCCCTTAATTTTCGTGCCTTTGAACGACGACCAACCTTTCTTATTCATCACTTTCATTCATTGGTAGGTGAAATCTTTTTTATCCCCTGTGCTATATATGTTGTGGATTTAATCAAAATTAATTTTTATCTCCAAATTTTAAATTTCAATATTTAATAAATCTATATATTAAGTTGAATAATTTAAAGTCCATGCTTAAAATTTTTTCCCTTTAAAAAAATGAGATTATTTGGTCCAAAAATGAATAATTCTCATGTAAAATCATTATTTGTCTATTGGCTGCTTTTCTTTTTTGGCCTCAAACATTGAAGGTGCACGAGTCATTTAAATGCCGTCCAAATGAGGGGATGGATAAGAGAGTGAAGGCATTAACCTGAATCACGAGGCCGTAAATAAATACAGTTATATGAGATGAAGATTGAATATATTTATTAGTTCAAGTACGAAATGGCTTTTCCAATGACCATATATGAGTCTAATAAATACGTACTAGTAATTACAAAGTCCGTGAGTTTTGGGAAAACAAACATAAAGGAACAAAAGCATGACCTTGAGAAGAAAACCCAAAATAAAATAATCCGCCACTAGCGACCGCCAGCCGTCTAGCCACAACGGGTGGAGGCGGAGAAGGTCCAAAACTTCCATTATAGGTGGCCGCCGCGGCGCACTAGTGGGCTTGGCAGTTAGCACCTGAGCTTAGGGTATCAACCACGTGGTGAAGATATGAGGGTAAATACAGTTACTACAATTTGAGGAAGTAAACCCCAAGTGGAGGACCAGGATCGTGGCTGGGTTGTTGGAGGTACTGTGCAAAATTTTGTAAAGGGGTCCTTAGATCTCGAACTTATTTTTTTGAAATAATAAATGACTAATTTAATTAATTTAAAAAATCGATGGATATACTCTATTTCGAGCCCGGTGCAAATTTGAATTTGTTTTTCCCAAAAATAAATTTGCTTGTTAACTATATTCAAACTTAAAATCAACAAAGTTATGGGCTCAATGATCTAAATACTGTTCTATATTTATTTTTCTGCTTCTTAATGACAACAACTGATAAAAATACTCTATTTCGGGACTACTGTTTTTTGAGGTTATACGCGTCACGCACTATACACTTGCTCAGCCATACCTTGTGGAGGATCAACTGCCAACTTCGACAATGAAGGGCGTCAAGGAATCAGCTTGCTACATTGGCACCATTTACGTGTATAACGACTGATATAAAAAATATTTTTAAAAATATATACATATATATTAATTATATTAAATAAACACAAATAAAATTTAAAAAATGTAAATCACTAATAAAATACATCATTAGCATACAACATTCGAATTTCAAGTTAACTTGGTTACCTGATCATATATACATGTGGAAAAGGACAATACTTATATCATGGACTTAGCGTCTCTCTCATTTGTCTTGTCTTAGATCTGAGTCTGATACAAATTATTGTGCATGGAAAAAGAGATAAAGCATGGCCGAACACTTTATCATCTTAGTTTGTACAACTTTATTTATTTTTATTTAACCCACATGCATTTCTGATCTGCAGAAACGTACCCTTTAAATGTTTTAGCTTTCTCATAATTACAGCGTCTCACCCAATCTGATCTAGAATGTTTGAACATTTATTATAAAATGATCGAGAATATTCATAACATAGATATTTTATAATGACCCTAACTTAATTAAAAAAATTATATAAATTTTTATCTGAAATAAATATAATTAATAAAAGAAATAATTATTAAATGAAATCGAATTTTAAGATGATTATGCCGGTTCAGTGTGACGTTTTAGTGGATCTGTAACTGCCTCTGATGCACGAATCCCCCGGAATATCACTCTACTATCTTGACACCATCATCTCCTTTAGCGTACTTCAATCTTACTTCTGCATTTCATGACTTAACGTAAGCTTCGGAGAACGATAATCAATTAATTGAGGGTTGTTCTGAAAACAAGGACCAAGTGAAAGGTGGGGCTAAAAGATACGCTTATAACGGTCACATAGCTTAGGTTAGGGTAGTACCAAAATATTTAAGGAATATATTGGGGTTTTTCTGCTTTGGGAAGCTGCCCCCCAAACACATTTAAAAAGTCCATCGATAGCAGAGATATATGCTTTCACATGACTGCAAGTGGAGCCGTTGAAGTGACCTTTCATTGAACCAAGCAAACAACGTAAAACGACAGCATGTGCAAATCTATTCAGCTAGACCCCAAAATACAAACCCCAAACCTCAAATCCTAAATCATGATCATATATTTAATTACTTCTGTTTAGGCTTCCTATGAAAATAAATAGAAAACGGTTCAAATGCCAATGATTGTAAATGGAACATTACTTTCCCATTTTATCATCCTCGCAGTTTCATGAAGGTGATGCAATGGACGCAATTTAATGCACGTAATGACGTGTTTCCCACTTATATAGTATTTAATTATTTTTATTTTGATTAATTTATTCGATTAGGGATATATAAAATCAGCCATCACATATGTTTGGTTGTCGGGTCAATGCTTTCTATGATAGGGCTGTTTTACCAAAGACAGCCCAAACAATAGCCCAAAAAATGACATATTTGAATCAAAAGGTGATTGTGCGAAATCCAATAGCAGATTATTTCTTATCCTTTTATTTTTTTTCAAATAAAAATATTTATTATATATATTGAAATTAAAAATGATTAAAGATAGGATAAGGCCCTTTGTCGTTTTGTCATACAGTTACAGCTTATGTCACACATATGGAAGATGATCCAAAATGTTTATTTTGGGACTTCTAAGAAATTTAGTTCCAAATAATAAAATAATTGAAACTTTATGTTCAAATAATGATTTGGTTTTAGAAACATTTTATAATTATATTTTTAAAAATATATTTAATGTGAATAATAAAATGATATAATCAAATCCAGATAATGGTGTTTTAATAAACTATTTTCTCCACTAATCGCTTGGTTGAAATCCTCACGGATTATGTTCAATGGTCACACAGGCACGTAGATTCTAAGGGTGTAATGAAATCCAAGGTCCCACGTGGCAAATATTTTGTCCAAAGCAATGAAACCCTTCCTTAAACAACTAATATGAGAAGAATATAATATAATGTATATTTAAAGATAATATATATTTAAAGATAATTTTTAATTATTTGACATCAAATATTTATATTCTAAGTATTAATGATATTTAAATTTGAAAGAAACAACCCTTAAATGCAGTAATAATAACATGAAAGTATTAAAAAATATAACATATATACTATTTTTATATTAAAAAACTAAAATTATTCATAAGTTTTTGTTTATGTAAGCGCAGTGACGGAATTAAAAAAGTTATTGCAGAATGTAAAATTTAGAGAAACTTATTTTAAAAAAATTATTTAAGTGTATAAAAATAAATAATATGTGTTAATTTATGTTTAAAGACGTTAATATTTTTTTATAAAAAATATTTTTATTTTTTAAAAATATATTTCAAATTTTGAAAAAGAATTCAATTTTTTTGAGGAACCCCTCATTGTACATTAACTCCATCAGTGTGTAAGTGAGAGATACATTATTTATGAATGGTGAAATATGTTAATTATGTATTAAATTTTTAAAAAATGATAATTGTACTATAATAATAGTTAAATTAGATAAAATGAATTATTGCGAAAATGAATCTATAATAAAATCATCACAATATTTTTTTTTTGAAAATTAAAAATCATCACAATATAAATTAATAGAATGTCACATCGTATATTCTAAAATGATAAGCTTCCTTAGTTAAATAATTGAGGTGAAAAAAAGATTAAAACAATAAAAGCTTTTGAAAATTATTTTGATATTTAATTTATTTATTATGAAATTTATCATGTGAGATTGATAATTTTTTTTAAATATATTAAAGATTTAAAACTCTTCATGAGAAAGTTACAGATTCATAGAATTTTATTCCATTTTATATGATGAGTTTTATTTCTTAAATATATTTTATGAAATTTTTCATCCATAACAAATTTTATATGTATTGTAATAAATGACTCAAATGTCAAAATAGTTTTAAATATTTTATTTTTTAAAAAATAATTTCTCACCCGTAATATTTTCAAAAATTTAAATCTATATATATCATGTCATGTTTTTTTTTTTGAAAAGAGAATAATAATTTAATATTTTAGTCTTAATCGTACATACATACCAAGTTCAATTATATTTTATGATATTATGTACATTTTATTATAATTATAATTATAATAACGGTTGTACTTATAATTTTTTAAAGATAAAGTTAATCTTGAATTCTTAATTAGTAATTAGTAGTTTTTCCCCTTTACTTAAATAATAAAAAGAGAGGGTAAATAAACCATATTTGCGTGAAGATGTGGTCATGACCGCAACTAAACAGCGTCCTGTTCGCTTCCAATTTCTTCACTTTTACTCTCAGGTCAGTCCCATTCAATTAATTTAAAAAAATCAATTCAATTGAATTTGAATTCCCTTCGAATAATAATTTCTACATCGGTCACTCTGATTTTGCTTTAAGATGTTTAATTCTGGGTAAGTGTTTGTTCTTTAAATTAATCGTTTTAAAAAAAGAAAATCATTTTACTTTCTGGATGTTTTTTAAGGATTGCTGAAGCATGATTTGATTGGCGTTTTAAGTATTTGTAAACTGTTTTTTCATAAGTTTATCTGAATTTGGTGGCAGAATAAGGTCCCTGTTTGTAGCATCAATCTCTGTTTTATGTGTGTGTATAAGCTAGTTTCATGGAGTTCTTTAAGATTATATAGATTTCATCTTTTGAAATTGAAGCTTCCAGGCCTTGTAGCTGAATTGTGTTAGGATCTGCTATTTGATTGGTGGAAATCTTACACAGATTTTCATGTTATTGGGAGCAGTTAAATAGTATTAATTTTGTTTTCTTTTTCATTTTAGTTAATATATTTTTCAAAAGAAATGAAGTTCAGAAAAGGGAACTTGGTGGAGGTTTTAAGAAGAGAAGATGATCCATGTGGCTCCTGGTATACTGCTAATATACTTTCAGCACATGGTGACAGCTATGTCGTTCGGTACAAACTGTTTACGGATCGTAAAGGAAACCAGGTGGTTGAGAACGTGCAAGGGAAGGATGTTAGACCGCTGCCTCCGTATGTAAACGGGAAGAATTGGGTGGTCGGCGATGTCACTGAGGTGTTCGATGTATGGTGTTGGAGGATAGGAAAGGTTGCAAAGGTGTTAAATAACAATGATTCTTTTGTCATTAAGTTGTTTGGTTCCATCCATCTTAAGGAATTTCATGCATCAAGCTTAAGGGTTAGGCAGGCTTGGCATGGCAACAAATGGATGGTGGTTGGGAAGGTCAGTGGCCTACTTTCATCATGGTTTTGCATTAAATTCTATTTTCTAAATGTTTATATAATAGGTTTGATTTTGTTCGAGTTTATTGGAGATCTCTTTCAATGAAGCATGGTGTAATTTGTGATGAATCGTTCGAATAAATTTAAGAAAATATCTTTTTGTTGCCTTCAGCATAGTTCTTTATGATATGAATTTCATCATTGATTGTAGTCTACTGATGCTTGGCAAGTGGAAGGCATTGTTTTTTCTGTGACCATTTTATGAGACCGCCGGTGAATATATGTTTTTTTCTTTTTGATAATGGTTCCGAATACAATTACAAGCAATGATGTCTTATAAGTCGACGGTTAGTTCTTACATTCCAGTATACTTAGTATGTCTGAATTAGATTATGTGTTTGCAGGTTGCTGGAAGTAAAGATTTGGACAACAATTTTATACCGAAAATTCCATACCACGCTGATTGCTTGCGTTTCAAGACACCATTACAACATAAGGGTGGAGCTGATAAGGTCACCATGTGCCTGTCCATTGGAGCCATACATAAAGTCTACGGTCATCAATCTGAAGAATTCAACATCGATAAGCACTTTGGTGGAAAACTTAAGACAAGGAAATTGCCTCGTAAAAGAACACATCCTTTGTTTAATCGGGTAGATGAGTTCTCTTACCGACATGCAGGGATCGATGAAAAATTCATTAAGCTATCAACAAAAACTAATAATCGGATGGAAGATACAAATCCCAACTGTGTATATCATTCTTCTAGGCCTGTTTGGTCTGCTGAAAACAGTGACAAATGCTCAGTTGCTAGCTGTAGTTTAATGGTGTTGCTGATTTTGGTGGCTGGATTTCTCTAAATCATCGAAAAACATACCCGATCATTCCGATGCCGAGTCATCATTCCCGTCTTTGTGTGTCAAAAGAAACTTACCCTCATCCCGTGTCGACAAAGTCGTCAATATCCATGAACTAGAGCTTCATGCTTACAAGTCAACAGTGGAGGCATTGTATGTTTCAGGTCCTTTAACTTGGGAGCAGGAGGAAATGTTGACGAATCTTCGCCTCTCCCTCAACATTTCGGATGAGGAACACCTACTCCAGCTGAGACACCTTTTGTCGGCTCATGTTCTATGATCCGGTCTTGTTCATGTCTCTTATGTCTTGTCCATGGATGTAATTGGTTTAATCAGGCTCCTTAACCAATGACAGTTTTCGAGACCCCTTAGCTATTCGGCTACGGCTACCGAGTCTCTTCTTCTGCAGGCGGCACCATACCTTTGTAGTTATATAACTTTTCCGGTGTATATAACATGTAAAGTATATAGAGGAATTGGAGCTTTACATGTTGAAGCTTAGAGCCAATAACAGGATTTCGTGTCTTATTATGAAAGGTGATTTGAGTGAAGAAATTCAAGATTTTCAATTTGGTTTGTGATAAAAGGATAATGTGTAGAAAAAACATTAGAATTCTTAGTTTTTTAAATAAATTCATTGGCATATAATCTTAACTAGGAAAAATATTTGTACTTGATTGAGTTTGATAAGTTAGTTCGATTAATTTAATTTACATATATGATATCTGTAGTATATCTGATATAAGTCTTATAAACATTTGACTTTGACGATGCGAAAGTAATAATTTCTTATTATGATTTTCGTAATTATTATATTTTTAATATGATTTTTTTTGTGTTTAAATATAATTTTATAAGCATGTACTTATTGAATGATTGAATATTAAAACTTATATACGTGTGTCACTGTCGCCTTCTAACCGACTTGTGTTGGTGCTAATATAAATACGTGTTATGTTCTAAAATTGGAGTGTTCTAAAATTTGGTGATAAAATTGATACAAACCATAGTGTTTAATGACAATTAGATTACTTTACCCTTAATTTTATTACATGGGTGAACAAATAGCCCAAAATTTTGAAAGGTAAAATAACCCAAAACGAGTTATAAATACAACAAAGCCCAGACAGTGTCTGTTCCTTTTTTTTCCATATGTATGGAGTAAGAAGATGTAAGACAGTAGGTTGTCCTCAACACCAGATTGAGAGCAACTTCCGTAGGAGACTTCTGAATTATGAAATGCCATCCGTGGGACTCGATCACAGACAATAATACTATTATTTAATTAAAAATATCAGGAAACATTGGTTTCAACAAAATTTTAAAATAATCTACTAATTATATTTTTTTAAATACCAATTTATTATTATTCTATTGATATTCGGAAGGCCATACAAGTTGAAAATGCCAATAAATAGGGACCACGTCACTTCATATATTTTATATATAGAACTTTCCGGTACAAAACATAGTCTTCTATAAGATAAAATGGGTCATAATATTATTGTTTTCTGGATAAACTTTAATTTAAATCCAAAATAAAATTATTTATTTTACCAAAAATACGTACGACAAAGAGAAAATATTTGTAGTCTGTCGAATGTAAAAACAAGGTTTCTGATTGGACGAGGAGGAAGGTGACTAATATGATCAATTCTGAAATATTTAGGATACGTGGCAGATTGTAGAGCTGAATGGCATAATGGACACGTGTCGATAGTAGAATAGTTAAATGTTTGGTCCTTTACCACCCCATCGTCAATTGACAATGGGCGAGAAATTCTGTAGTTTCCGGCTGTACATTTCTGTTGTTTCTTTATTCGGCGGCTAAATTTGTATATCTATATGAAATGGATGAGTAGATATAATTTTTTTTTATAAATTTTAAATATAACCCTAATATTATTTAAAGAAAAAAATTAAAATAAAAAACATTTTTAATAATTTAAAATTCATAATCTAAGAGAATATAAAAAATGAAAAATATGATTTATCTGTCAAATATATTTATTCGATGAGAAAATATTTTTAAATTATTTTAATTCAACTAATATTATTTATAAATTATTAATAAGTTTTATTAAATTTAAAATAGTGGGAAAAAACCGCAAGAGTGGCGTTTAGATGGGGAACACTTAAATTTAGGTACTAGTAGGCTATTGGGAAGTACTTGTCGCAGTAAGCCAGTAATTTCTAGTTTCTGTTATTTACAACTACGTATGACATTTTTTTCATTACTCGACATATGACATTTTTTTTATTAACAAAAATAATTGTTTTCCTTTCAATGTAAAATTAACTATTTTTAAATTTTAAAAAAATACCAATTTCAAAGAAATTATAAGAAAAATAATATAGCAATAAAATGGACAAGTGGCAATTCTACATGATGCCACACTTTGAAACATCATCATCTATATCCAAATACAAGACAGGTGGCACAAGATATTGATGCCATGTGTCAATTTTGTAAATATTAAATATTAAAATGAAACGTGGCATTGTAAATAAATTTACTTTATTATTAAAAGATAATCTGATAAAGTTGAGGGACCAAAAAGATAATTTTTCCATGAATGAAATAAAACTTTGACTCTACGCGTTTATAAAGTACATGAATTACTTTGAAAGATTTGTTGAGCTTTAGAGTCCATTCGTGGAGTTATTTAAGGGTGCGTTTGGTTTACGAAATATAAGGTTATCAGTGAGAATAAAAGATTACTAGGGAATAGGATTACTAGAAATGTTGTATTTTGTGTTTGGTTGGTTTAGTAGGAATATAAAGATTATCGTGTTTGGTTAAAAGAATAAAAGATTATTAGAATGTATATTTGACCAAACTGTCCTTATTATATATTTATATAATATTACAAGTTATAAATAATTTATATATTTTATTTAAAAAATTAAATTAATAATTTTTATATAATTTTTTTACAAAATTAAAAATATAAAAAATGTTTAATGAAAGGGTAAAATTTTATTCAACTCCTGAACTTTATATACAATTTTAATTATAGATTTTTTTTTTGTAAATATAAAATAATTTAAGGATAAATTTGTAATTTAACCTTCTTAAAATTTTTATTATTCAATGACAGAAGAATAATATTTTTGAAAAAAATAAAAATTTAAAGGCATTTTAGTCCAAAACACCGGTAATGTTACAATACCTAAGGGAAGGGAGGTAATGACATTCCCGATAATATACCTCAAAAAATCTACTATTGGTAATAAAACATTTTCGGAAATGACGTTCCCGGCCAAACCAAACGGGAGAATGTGGATTCTATTTCCTGTGAATCCCACATTCCCCGTCCAAACGCCCTTAAACGCTAAACAGATGCATAACATCTAGAATTTGTGGGCCATTGAAAACTTCTACATATTTTGTTCAGCTTCTACTTAAGTCGTAGGCTAAATTGGAGTTGTGATGTATGGAAACGATAACTAACATAGATATTTTAATATTCAAATTTAAATTTAGACTCAATAATTAGATTATTTCTCATTTGATTATTATTATTTATACTTTTATTATATTCCATTTATTTTCACCGTTAATATTTTAACGTATTGTTTAAAGAATTTAGTTCTTATTATGCTATAACCTTGTTGGCAGCTCTACAATATAAAAGAAATGATAAAGGAGTTCAACGAGTGGTTAAATTTAAATCCATTCATTTACTCTGTATTATTTGTTTTTTAAACCAAAAATATATTTGATAATTATTTTAGAAAAAAATTATTCGTTTGTTACCTTTAGACAATCTTTAAAAACTTTCAATCTTTTGTAGATAAGATCTTCTCATATAGTAAAGGTTTTGATTAGCTTACATCTTTTAAGCACACTTTTTTTTTATAAATTATAATGTATAGATAAAATTCGTATCATGTCGGAATAAAATTCAAAATCTAAATATTAGATTTTTGATATGCAGACTTATAGGTAATTATAATAATCTTATAACTAACACACACTAAGAGTCGTTATAAACACTCATCAAACCGGTAAAAAGGCTAAAATCCTATCATCCTCACGGTTTCTCTGTCATCTTCTTAATCTCTCATAATTCTATTCAATATGAAAATATATAATTATTTCTTGATCGACTACAACTTTTCATTAAATCAGAATAAATGAACCACTTACGATGATAGATAATTTTTCGTCAACATTTAATTTTGAATCGGAAAAATAACAAATTTACAATGAAAATAAATGCAAATGTTAATTGTTAATAAACCTAATAACATATTAAAAATGAACATTCAATATGTGCGGAAAAAAAGTGATCATTCATTATGATCAAGGTAAAGAGGAACTGCGCAATGGCAAAGAGCGTGACAGGCAGGCAAGTCACCGCATACACCGGGAACGCAGCGTACTTCAACTATCTTTCAAATAAAGAAATGTCCCGCGCAGAACGACACCAACACCGACGCTATCGACACAAACAGCGACGTCAACCCCAGCAAAAGTTTCCGTGCAGATCTATGCCGAAATCCCTCTCTTGATACCGAGACGTTAGTATCGATAGAACATCACTACGGACGTCACCGAGAAACAGAGCGTGATGAGGGATGAGATTGCGAACACATCGAATGCCGGATGGTTTTCCAATGTGGGTGTTCCACTCTCCGAATTCACACCGCCAGGCACGGTGGTTGATGTGGCGAATGCCACGGTCGCGATCAATGCTGCACTACAGAGCACGACTCCGAGGTGTGGTTAGCCATTCTCCACCCTTGGCAACGAGGTGTTTGTGTGTCTCGGTGAATATGTCCCTTGGGGTCTTGTTGTCCTTGTTGTAACGAGTGAAGAAGTGGGCAGGCATGGAGTGCTTCACAAACTAAAGAATGCTCATGGTGTCAAATTATGATCAATTATAAATTAAATCAATGTAAACATGGTCGTACCTCATACCACTTGATTTCCCATTGCATTTGTAAAGCTGCGCCAGGGATGAGCCAAGGCCTGTGGTCACCCAAACATTGCGGCAAGGTGCAGTGCACTATTTCCGTCACGATCCACCGCTCGGAAAACGCTGTCTTTCATGATGTTTTATTAAGCAAGAGCTCGTATACTGAGGTTGCCGGTTTTCCACACGCAAGCAATACTATGTTCTTCTTTTCCGAGTTCGTTCATGGATCGCCACCGGAAAAACGTTGTAGGATTTCATCCACCATTTCTGTGATTCCGTTCTTTACCGCGATCATATTGCCGTCTCTCTTTCCGCCGCTTCTTTGGTTTTCTCCTTTTCTCCTGCCAGTCAGTGGATTTTGCAATGTTACAGAAAATTATTCGTACCATTCATGTGTGTGCCATAATGTTCTTACGTTTACCTTTTGAAGTTTTCCCTTAATCTTATCACGTTGTTTAGCTGGATGTGAATCATCACCAGATGCAAGCATTTTAACGTCTCCGCCTTCGGTGATTTCATAAGGCTTTGTCTCATCGGCATCATATAACAATTGCTGCGGCCGACAGCCGTTGTCTTCGTACTG